GAGAGAGAGAGAGAGAGAGAGAGAGAGAGAGAGAGAGAGAGAGAGAGAGAGAGAGAGAGAGAGAACGGAACCACCATTGAGAAGGAAGCATGGTTTTTTAAACACAGTAAGAAACAAACTCATGTCAACTGGTCCGGACTGGGATGAGAAAGATAGGATTATTGAATGAGGGCCGGAAGAGAGGGAGCAACCATGAAAGAAGCAAAGGATTCACATCGAGAACACGGTGGAGGAAGGGAACAATTGATCACACATGCGCTGTGCTTTTGTTTCAGTTGTGTCCACCGATTCAATATTTGTTCAAAGCTCAAACTCTTTTCATGAATTGGCGAAGCGGTTCCTTAGTGGAGGCGAAAACACAATATCCTGAGTACCTATGATAGTAACCACGTCTGTGAGCATGAGATGTTTCGACACAAAATCAAAATCAAGCCCTTGTAAATAAGCAAAACCAGGTGCAGGATGTACATGACGAGTCCAAAAGTGATGTGCTGCCGACAGCGAGGAGGGAGTCTATGGATGGGAGGCTACAGCGGATAACCGGATGGAGAAGGGATGGGTGTTTAGAGAAGTATATGTACCACACCAAGCACAGCAACACGAGCAGCATCCGACCCCAAATGCCCTTCGTTTGATGAACCAGCATGTGGGCAGGCAGCAAGGGTGGTGGCCACACCAGAGAACTATCACTTCAATGTTAATTCAACTTAATTAGATCGCCATTTGGTTGATTGAAACTTGATTCCTTTCACCACACAATGTCGATGATGTATGTCTTTGGTGTACAGCTGATAGTATTGCTTCTGAGTGAGTCACACGATTATTCCATTGTCGTCACTACTCACTAGTGAGGAAGTAATGTGATTTGATGGCTGTGTTGTCTTCAATTTCTGAGCTTCTGTGTGCATATTTCTTTCGTTGTTGTTTAGTTTTGTCTTTTGAGTTCAATCTACCGCCTTTTTTAGGTTTGCTCCCAACTTTACACAGATTTTCATGGCTGTATGTTGCCCAAATAAAGGCCATATTCAGTTGAAACTTGAAACTTTGCCAGTGGGAGTATCTGGTCTCAAACAGGCTAACTGTGCATTTGCAACATTGAAGTTTAAAGGGTGGGTTGAGACTCGCGAGTCTGCCTGTGTGAGACGCCAGCTGAAATGTTTGGTTCAGGTGGAGAGTAGTTTTCAGCAAACATCACGGTTACATCGCCAAGCGAGAAAAAGAAAACGAAAAAGGAGAAAGAGTAAGAAAGCGTCAACAAGTGGTTGTTGGCGTTGTCATTTTTATTTTTATTTTTTATTTTTAATGCGGACCAGTTCTTGATTTATGTATGTCATGCTGGCGCAGGGGCCATTTGCTAATGACCTTTCTCTCTCTGTGTATCGTTCTAATTTTAACGGATGTCCCGGAGGAGTTGCTGCTGTCATCTTACCCTTCTGTGTCTGGCCTTTTCCGTTTGTGTTGCCTCCCATCTTGTCCTTTCTGGTGATGCTTGGTTGGAGTTTTCATTATGGCTCTCGAATCTCGATTATCTACAGACATGGTGAAAATGATAGAAATAGACCGTGTCCTTCGCCCAGGAGGGGTGTTTATCTGGGAGGCTGGCCTGGCAAACAACTCGAAAGACGACTTGAAGGCAACAAGTGATGCTGCAGAAAAGTTATGCTGGACCCCTCAGAGAATGGTAAGGTTGTCGGAGTGACAAGGCTTGTTCGCATGTTCGATGACAGTGAACCTCTCTCTCTCTCTCTCTCTCTCTCTCTCTCTCTCTCTCTCTCTCTCTCTCTCTCTCTCTCTCTCTC